CATTTTTCTTGGAAACCGTTTAACATCAAATATGCTCACAGGCTGGTTTACAGGACTTTGCAAAAGTCTTGAACCACTCCTTCTTTCTTAATATTTCAATTTGAAAACAGGATTTACTGAAACGTGCAAACAAAAATGGAAATGCAGCATATAAGGTGAAACAGACTTTGTACAATTCAAACATGTTGGAAAATCAATATTTGGTAGAACCACCCTTATACTTCAATACAGTCCAAACTCTCTTTGACAAGCTTTCTTGTAGTTTCTAAAGGTAGTCTTCAGGAAAAGTTTTTCAGACTTCTTGAAGGATATCCCAGAGCTCTTCTTTGGATGTTGGCTCCCGCTTGTGCGGCTCCCTGTCGAGATGATCCCACAATGCTAGTAACTGCTACCTGCTAGAAACAAAGTGCCTAAAGATGCCATTTAAAAATGGTTCATTACCGAGTTGCCTGTTATACATAGAGACAACACTGGTTTCATCCCGAGAATAAGGTGCCTTTTTTATGTTTGAATGATTCATAGGGTAAAGTTAAGTTGCTCAAAATATTAAAAAAAAAAAACATGGAAAAAGAGAGAAGAAGCAGTCAATGTCCAAAGAAAAATAGACTTTCAGAAAGCCTCGAGAACTATTGCTCAGAAGCACTTTAGCAAATGACAAAGTCTGGCTCCTCGGAAGGAAAATGTAAAGAAATGAGGTGTTCCTTAAAACTTATACTATAAAGTATTTTAGAGTATAACAGTTAGATTCAAGAGTCACTCGATATTCTGAACTTGGGAGTACATCTGCTTTAAAATATAGAAACAAAAAAATCCAGCATATTAGAACTTTGTTGTTTTAGTTTCTGTAACATTTGAAAGAAAAGGAAAAAAGGAGGTTATTGGAAGCTTTATACAGTAAAGGCAGGTCAGATTCCCTTACAAGTTTTAATCGAACAAGCATTCGTCAGGATGACATTTGATGACCCCCCTTGTACCTATAATGATAAAATGGCCAAAGACAACTTCTGATGGAAACTCAGTCATTTTATTTAATAAACAGGCCTGAAATGTGATAGAAGCACTCTGTGTTTGAACACGTTCAGAAAAAATCTTCAAAGGTTACTCCTAGTAGGCTTTCAAGGGATAATGAGTGCCGTTATCGGCTACAATGAAGAGCAATTGGAAAAAAAATATATATCACCAAGTGTTATCTTAGCCATATTTTAGTTCTTAGATCAGCAATACTTTCTTAGAGATATCTTTAATCTAATGCATGAGATAGAGGAGCGTCAGTGACCTTAAAGGCTTCAAAGGCCTCCTGCTCGATTCAGATTTTTTTTTCTCCTTTTTTTCTTCTTTTTTTGTGAGAGTGGTTAATTACTGACAACTCTGTGGCTCAATTTCATTTATAATCTTCTGTCCTACTGGCTCCATTCTTGGCTTTATCATTTTGTTTTTTATTTGCCTTCTCTGCACACCATTACTTAAGCGATCAACCTTTGAAATAAAGCCTAAGAATTGCCAAGGCTGAGTTTTACTTGGGTTTCCTCCTTTCCACTTTCAGTTTTAATATTTACGGATTATTAATCTCATGATAAAGTGCATGCCATAAAGTACATATTTCAGTGACAGCTTAAATCCTATCCACACTGTAACCCATTGTAAAAATGTCTACAGCTGTTCTAATTTCATAAAATACGTTCCAGTTTTTGTCTCTCTTTACAAACAATGCCCTTGTTGGTCCTTAGATTGATCTAAAAATTCACCCTGGCCCTTGAATATAAAAGGCATAAGGTCCAGATGTGAGCACAGATGATGGGTCCCTGTAGACCTCACCACATCAGCTGCCAACTGCACTGACATCTGCATGCAGAGTACCTTTTGTGGTCAATAGGAAATGGCCTCTTTAAGCTAAATTAGTAGCGCTGTGCCATTGAGACTAAACACTGGAAAAAGCTGGTAGGAAACTGTCTCTCTTACAAACATCATATAAATGGTGAGGAACGTTCAGTCAGAATTCTCAGCTGTTTTTGCTTTTAAAACAGTCATAGCGTCCATTTTATTTAAACTGTCTTGCAAGTCTCACAAAAATGAGTTACTGTGGAGGCAGCACTGCAAACTAGGGATTTGGGCGATGGAATATACTGATGGGTTGGGACTCTTGAGTCGCTGACGTGTTGATGGCCGTGCTGAAGACTTCCCATTCTTTTGACAATATTTGACTTGGCAAGGAACGTTGAAGTAAAAGCAACTGGTTACCTTGTCACAACCCCTAAAGAGAAACCAGTGGTAACATGATCTTAGCGTGGGTGTTTGCTTTTTGCTGATTGAGTAGACATTTTGTGTATTACTTGAAGATTGAGGGGAGTTCACTGCGCTGAGGCGGGGTCAGTGGTTATGGCCTTGCAAAGTTGAATAATTGGAGAAAATTGAGGCATAATTTTTTTTTTGCTTTTCGCTGTATTTTGCAGTGGGTGCATTGGTTAATTTCATCAGCCAGAGGTCTGACACATGTTCAGTTTTACAGTTTTACATTACTCAAGGCATGCCATGGTACTTTGGAGGAACGTTGTTAGGCCGAGGAGCCATGCTGATGCATTTCTTTGAGTTATGACAGATTTTCTTTATTATGATTGAATGTGAGAAAAACTGAAACATGTTCTTAGCATTTATTTTTCTTAAAGCTTCTCAGACTGTTTATCACCTGCTTTATACACTATAAAGAGAGTTTCTTTAAAAATATAGATATTATTTTTAAATGTTATGCAATGGTGTGCTGGTTTAACCCACTTGAAATTGAATTGCACTGTATGTAGCCTGTAAACTAAAATGAGTTTGACACCCCTGTCATAGCTGTCGGGTGGATAATCGCTTTTCTGGACCTAGAAATGAATTTTCAAATAAAAGCATGCAGATATTGTATGCTTTTATTAATATGTATACATTATACATTATTTTATTAATAATGTATATATCAAGTTTGAGGTTTTTGCCAAAGGGCCTGATGTACTTAAGGCTACTGCTTTGGAGGAAATGGGTTTCAAGTTTGACTTCGAATAATTATCCATAGCTTTGAATCATCAGAAGTTATTTTATTTTTATTCAATGTAAGGAAGACACTTTGCTATAGTTTTACTGCAAGTAATATAACAAAAAAAAGTTGCTCATACTTTGGCAGAACATTTTTAGTAGGCTTCTGAAACCTTGGGACACAGTTGCTGTCCTACCTCTGTACTCTAATCCACCGATGAAATATAAACTTGGTAAGAAAATAAATCTTATCCTGCTGCAAAGCCTTTTTTTTCCCCTTAAATTGTGCCATATTTGGAACGAAAATGCATTTATGGGTTGAGCAGCAGAGTTGAGTATGTGGGTAGCACTCATGAAAAACTTGCCAAATCTTCTCTGCCAATCCCAAACAGCTTATTATGCTACCGACTCTTGTTCTGAGCTCCTGGTGCCCCAGGTGCTGCTAATCAGGTGCCTGTGAGCATGGGCCGTACTACAGCTGTCAGTTGGTGTCTGCTCCAGGCATGTCATGCTATGATCTAGACAGGGCCTGTGCCACAGGAAAACTTCAAGCTGATTATCTGCCAAACCAAGTTGTTTTGTTGGCGTAAGTCCTAGTACCGTCTCCAAGTTCCATATAGGATCCTGTCAGACAAAGTGCATGTCCTAAGAATGAGACATCAGAAAAGGACAGTTTCCTCACCCTGTCAGCATGTAGGAATCTGCCACAACTGCCCTTCACTGTCAGTCCCATTTGCGGTGGCAAACTAAAAACATGAAGGGAAGTTATGCTCAGCAACAAGTCCAGATTCTGCCTACAGCAGCCGGATCATAGGATCAAAGTGTAGAGAAGACGCAGAGACCATTATGCTCATTCCTGCACTGATAGGGTGACAGTTTTTGGTGGAGGCAGCGTGATCGTGTGTTGACCAAGCTGGTAACGAGCATGAGGAGGTGGTGCCAGGCTGTTGTGGCTATGTATGGTTCTTCCACATGCTGCTGAGGCTTGCGTTTGTTAAATACATAAACTATAAATTGCCAGTGTTTCTTCAGGCTCCAATCTAATAAACACTAAAGAAATAGTCAAACACCGATTCCCTCACTTTTTGTCCTAAGTTCTTTTTGTTCGTTGTTATTTTGTTTCAATATGGCTTATTTAACTGACCTATTAATACATTTTATAGAAACTGAGGCGACTGGAGGTCGCCAAATTCTCAGGACACTGAAAAGTCGCACTCTTCTGCGTTACTGATTTCCTTCACTGGTTCATGTCTTTTAATATTTTATAGTACTTGTTTAGAGTGGGGAGATCACTTTCACAGTCTAGACTCATTCACTATACAAACCGTTTGGCTACTGAAACGTCTATCACATTTGTAAAACAGACCAGAGGTTGCCTATGAAGGAATCAATATCAATGTGGGGGGAAGATGACAGCTGCTCGACTCTGTCCCTGCCTGCAAAATGTAAAGGTTAAGAGGCATCATGAATTTGATAGGCCTCTTTGGGAATTCAACTCTGCTGGGAGGATCCAGCTCAGCCTCATTCTCTAATTTCTTCCCTTTTTTTTTTTTTTATCATCTTCCTGAACAACATGAGGAGTTCTTTGCTGGCCTGGAAAACGGGACCGTTGGGGACTGAATATGAATTACTTCTTCAAAGAAAAGGGGGAAAGGCCAAGTCTATCTTGCCTCTAGCTGTCATCCTCTTCATTTTTTTCCTCTACACATTTTTTCTATTTTCCACCTTCTCTTCTTTAAATGTAAAAAGCCAAGCTGATTACATTCTTACTGTCATATGTGTGTCCTCTCTTTTTCCTCTACCAGTCTCCTTTTCTCTGCCTCTCTTCTGTTCTGTTTTGGCTCCCACATCATAACCCCCCCATACCTCTTCCCTCCCTCGCTCCTCACATTACGCTCCAGCTTTTCCTCTCTGCGTCCCTCCCTTCTCTCTCATTCATACACTGGCTTCATCTCTGCTCCATTAGTTATGCAGCTCTCTCTCCCTCTCAGTCGTCTGCTCATCCACTGACCGGATAAACACCACTGCTTTGTAAGTAGTTCTCAGTTTTTCTTGTTGTTGGTGTTGTTCACTCCCAACTCTCTCCTCTTCACATCCTCCAAGGCTTCAGCAACTGTTGCTGTCTGCTCAGAATGGCAGAGGCTTGCTAGCATGCTGATGTGCTCAGAAACACAGATGGACAGGGTGATCCACAGAGGAGGGTGAGCAAAGGGACAGATCAGATGAAGTAAAGGCAGGGAGCCAGAGTGCGCATCATTACCGTCTCCCGTCTTGAGTGTCAAGCTTTTGGGGAAAAAAGAGAGTTTGGGTGCTTGACCAAACTCTTCCTCTAATTAAGCAAGGAAGTGTGGCTTTGGACAAGCTGGGTCACATTTTAATGAGAGCTCTTTATACACTGGAATAGTTGCAGCCTTCTTAGTTGCACAATGAGACAGTTTCAGTGTCTCATTGCTGTTCTGCTTTACATTTTTCTGTTCATGTAACGTAAGCTTTACAAGTCAAAAATTAAGGTTAATGTTCTGCTTCCTGATATTTTTTGTCTGATCCGTATGAGTGTTGAATTTATCTTGTAAAATTGATTTTAATATTAGTGCCAATATACTGATCGCAAACAAATTTCAGTAATTAATTAAATAATTCAATTTAAAGTGCATGAGCTTTTTGCTCCTTGGGTCCCCTCCTCTTTATTTATCAGAGTGCTCTGCTGTCTGCTTGGGAGTGGCATCTGTAGTAAAAGTTTTTTTTTTCTTTAGCATGAATGAAGTTTTAATGAAACTTTAAATAAAAAGCCAGCATTCTGTTGAAGTGGAGAAATGACTGATTCAATAACCGTTTGCTCAAATGTGAAGAATAAAAGTACTTGCTCAGCTGTGTTTGGAGGAGAGTCATGATGCTAATTCTGTCTGATTGATGTTTGTTTGGTGGTTTATTGGTCACTATTTTTGCTCTGTGTGTTGGATAATCACAGTCCTCCTCTAGCAGATTTCTTTCTATTAAGGAAGAAATCTGTGTCTTAGCTGATGTTGCACAGCCTGACCCCAAAGAAATGTAATTTTGTTTATAATTCAGTCCACATCCCTGTGCACAGTTCTAGACTCTTTATATCTTTACATATATTTTAATGGGCAGTGACTCTGCATTACAAGTTATTCAACCTCAAAATTTTCATCTGGCTCGCAGGTGAATTAAAGGCTAATGTTATATATGATGTGACTGTCAAGATTGAGCAGAGGAAGCTTCCTTTATTTTATAACATGAAAGCACTTTATCTGCACAAGATGGAAATTTACTGTCAAACTCCTTTTGTCACCAGTAACAGGACGAATCAAAAAGAAGTATTGCAAATTGAAGCCAGTATAATAAGAACATTAAACGCTGCTCATAATAATACTGCATGTGTGCTTAAGATTATTATTAAGGATTATTAAGGAACATGATTAATGTTCCTTAATAATCAAGAGGTGTTTTAAATGGTGCTGAAATGTGCATTTCTTCATATCATGTATTGCATTGCATGCAGTGTCAGATTAGTTTGGAGTGTGGAGCTAACCTTAGCAGTGCTAGCAGCAGCAGCCCATGTCTCTTCTTGCATAACTGTCATCTGCATACTTTTCCATCGAAATCATTTACAGCTTCCTGCCAGAGAAAAGTTCAGTTGTTTGTCATGGCTGGGTAACTGTCTGGTGGCATTATAATATTTTTAAAATAACCTCCAATTGTTGCCCTTTAATTTAATTTTTCTAATTTTATTAGGGGGGGGGGGGTTACTTTAGCCTATAACAACAGACCTAAACCGACACCTAAGTAACTCATTTTTAAGAGGCTAACAAAGGCAAAGTGGCTAAAACTAAAGCTATCCACAGCTCAGGGCAAGCCACAGCCATGGTTTGAGCAAAGGATCTCAGACTTTAGGAAGAAAATTATAGAGATGAGTGAAAAGCAGAAAAGGGTCCAATGTCCTGTTATCTGGTGAATTTATAAACATTAAAGAAACAGAAAAAAAATGTGGTGATGTTGACGTGTTGACTTTGGGTGGTGGTAAAGTGAGAAATTTGTATGAGATTAAACTGACCTCAAACAGCAAAGGCATTTTGTAATACACTCCCATGTCCTTTGGTTAGAGCTTACATCAGGACTGTGGCCCACAGCGTGTCTTTAAACTGTACACAAACTGTTCAGAGAAGAAACAGTTAACTGGTATTATGCCTGTAATAAAATTGCTAGCACTGACCTGTAGTTTGACGTTAGCTGAGCTGCTGTGGGAACAGCTCTATGCTATGGTACATTAGAACAGCCCATCCAACCAATCCAACTGGCTGGAGGCGCTGCAGGAAGTGTAGGAGAAACTTTCTCAGGGGTGAATTGACAGCTGGAATGCCAAAGGTCTGCAAGCCTGTAATTGCTCCAAATGAGCAATTTGGGGACACCAAAGCTTAAAGGAGAAAATCAGTCATAAACTTTGCTTTGTATTAACTATATTTTCTACTCAATTTGCAAGTCATTTGATGAATAAAACTACAGAAGACAAAGTTTACTTGGGGGAACAAAGAGTAGTGAAATGTTCCGGGTGACCCTTTTCTGTGTGTGGAGATTTCCACAAATACTCAAGTTGCGTTTTGATAGTTATGTGCTAAAACACTGCACGTATAATCGACGTGAGTAATGGTTTGCACATGGACTGCTACAATATTGAGAAATTGATGATGAACACATTCTCCTGCTTGCTGGATCTGGACTGTGAAATAAATCTAGTAGTCTTTGACCTGATGAGCCTTCCAGTTTTGAGGTCATCTTGATATGCGCACATCCAGGGCAAAACAGTCTAAATACTTATTTTTATTTGTAAAAAAATCATACAGAATGATTTCAGATTTAAAAAAAAACCAAACTTCAGTGATTTTAACTCCCACCCAAAGTCTTGCCTTGAGCCATCTCGAGCTGTGCCAGTGCTTTTCAGTGAGCGCTAGCCAACAAGGAGGGTTTTTTTTTTTCTTTCTTTCTGCTGTGTCAAGTGCTGCCATGCTCTTTAAGAAGACCAGATCAGAAATTCTTTGAGCATCAGCTGATGGCAGAAAATCAGTCATTATCTTCAGGAGAACAGCTGAGCTGCATAATGATCTCTAAACACTGAGGTTTTATTCATAAAATCCACATGTTTATCTTGAGCGATTCTTTTTAGACAACTTTTGAAAGGGAGCCAGTCTGAAAAGATTAGGATTTTTCCCAGAAACTGTCATATTGAGAGTTCCAGACCTTCCTTTCTTCAAGCTGCAGTCTTGAGAAATACTTTTTGTTACTTATTCAACGGTTAAAGGCCAGTCAGTAGCAGACATCTTACAAGAAAGATCTGTGAATGTAACCAAAAACTGTTCTGACAGGTTTCAGTAATTGCTTGTACACTGGTTGCGCTAATTATTTGGTGTGTCTTTGACATTGTAAGAAGATCTGTGAAAACATTTGAGGAAAAACACAAATACCGTTGGGTTTTCTTACATGATTGATATGAGAACTCTTAATTTTTTTTTAGCTCTAGCTCACTTACTATGTTACCATTCACCTAAATAGGGAATAGCACTGGCTGTTCACTGTGGGGATCTGCTCAAGACCAGTCAGCCCTGTCGCTCAAGATGCAGAGTAACTTGTGGATAGTTGTTATGGAAATATAGGCAACATAGAGCCGGATGACAGAACGAAAGAGTAAAGATGATACCGGGGACCATACAATGCTTTATACTGACTGTTCACATGACTGAATCTGCTAGCCGGACTGACCTGCGTGTTTAGTGTCAGTTGCAAATTTCTCAGCCCGTGTGGCGTCAACTGTGCCGCTAAGCTCAGGATTTAAGTGGCGACTTGTCTGTGGTGTTCCACTGAGCCATGTTGTTGTGTAAAAGCTTCCTGTGTTTCTTTGTACTCAACCACAGACTTATACTATATTGAACACACCATATTTAAGAAAAACACAGGCCTTACATTTTAATGCAGGCTTATGTCGCAATCCCTTAAATTAAGTGGAGCATAACCATCAAACCTAGCAGTTTTGTACTTTAGTTTCTAGTGTTGTTGTTTGGGATATTTTTTTAACAAAACGAGTGCGCTGGTTCATAAGGCTCTGTTGAAATGTGATTGAGCAAGACAGAAGAGTTGACAGTTGTCATCATGTTGTGCCGAAATTGATTACCCTCTTACGCCTTAATCCCAGCTTCATGGCACAGTTGAGATTAAATAACTTAAGCACTTTTTTTAATCTTGCTGCCAACATATATATTGTTGTCCTGCTGATTTTTAGTGGTTCAGATGGGACCCGTAGCCCAGCCTCGCTGCAGACAGTGTTGATGAGAGTGAGTCAGCAAACTCTGCTTTCAGAACTTGATTGTAGGCTCAAAAAGGTGAAGGGGATCTGGGCGGTCAGGTAAAAAAACCCCACTATGTTCTGTGCCAGATATATCAGAGTCTGATTAACTGAGAATCTTTTGACCTGTCAACAAATAATTTGTTGATGCCTTTGTCCAGTGGTGACGCAGGAGAAGTTTAACAGCATGTTGGATATAAAAACAAGCAACAGTCATATGAGCATATGAGATGCTCAATATGTACTACTATGCAAAAATCTAGAGGGCCATCTTCCGCTACTTTCCTGTGAGTCATTGAAATATAAAAGAGACCCAGACTTCAAGGCATCAACCAGTGTTGTATGTTTAGACACTTTGTTACCGACTGCCTGTTACAAAAACCAACAATTTGTTCCCGTTTCTTTTGTTAAAATGACAAAAATTACTAAATGAATTCCCAAACAGATGAATTCCCAAGCAGCTATTAACTATAAACTTGGCATATCTTGACAAGCCAAACACGCTGCCAATGCAGTAAAACACTATCTGGATAGAAAAACTCACAGTGGAACACTATCAGTCATGGATTGGGCTCCCCAGAGCCCGGACGTCAATATTATTGAAGACGTGCGGGATCGTGTGGCTAGAGAACAGAACAAAAGGCAGCCAACATCCAAAGAAGAGCTTTAAATGTCTTTCCGAAAGCCTGGAGATTTATTGAAATTTCTTCTTTTACTGGACTGTCTCTAGCTGTTTTACATGCAGACATGACATAACTGATTGGCTGCTGGCTGACCCAAAATTCATGGGATTGACTGAAAGTTGAATCCCTGCAAATTCCATCTGTTTTGTTTTTCTATTTTACTTACCAGACTAATTGCAGTCATCTGGTCTATCTCCAGTAATGCAGTCAGTACCAGAGACAGCGTAACACAAGGGAGAAAAAGACCACAAAAGTAGTAAACAAACAAAAGTAGTTGTGACCAAGTCTTTTCTAAAACCATAGAAATGAGTCTGCTGGATTATTTAATTTGACATCCTGACTGGTAATGGGCAGAAATATGTGAACCACATTTCAACTCCCAGACCCATGCAGCAGTTTGGGTCGTAACTTTTGGGCTTTTTTTCCTAACAAGTGAGCAAACTGAAGTTTGCCAGTGTCTTTTGTTGTACTAGACCTCATAGTAGAAACAATTCAGAGGTTTCTGCAGTTATGATTCTGGAAAAACATCTAAGTTCAAAGTAGTGTGACCTCAAAGGTTTGCCTCTGATACCAAACATGTATGCTAGCAGTTTTTTCACAGCATAACATCTGAGGATATTTTCTCCATCTTGTCTCCTCATTCAATTTTTGACAGATCTTTTTTTTTCCATTGTAAAGTGAATAAATGAACAAAAAAAGCGGAGCCCCTGAGATGACTGCTGTTATTTTTATCCTCCTAAAAGAGATGCATTGTCCTCGGATGCATTGGTGCAGAGCGGTTTATAGTGATTGAATTCTTAATACGGGGGGATGCTTTTGCATTATTTTCCTAAATTTTCCTTAGTCGCATAGCAACAAATAGTACAGCCACATATATTGCACCTAATACAACACCTTGAACAGATTGTACAGTTAAATAGGGGCGTTAGAATGAAGAAATGGAGGTATCATATTCAGTTCAAGGTGCGTGGAGAAAGGAAAAAGTATGTAAGAGTTTTATTGTAAACTACATCAATAATCATAACAGTGAAAAATGATTCCACAGTTTTAATATTTTGATGAACTTGTACATGCATGTTGAAGCGCATACAAGGTCAAGTACATACAGTATATCTGTAAAACCCCAGTAAAACAGGTTAGCTTAATGCCAACAACATACTTTTTTGTACTGTTTAACAAGAAGATTGATTGAAAAGTGTTCGTCCAACTGTAGGATAAACACGAGAGACTGATGCTAAGAACAAGCCATCGGGGCGACTTGAAACTCAAATGAGTTGATATTCACTGTGTTTTCTTCATTTGTTTAATAGATTGTCGTCTATGGCTTTTGGATGACTTTGCCTGGGTGATCAGTGTACCAGTAAATCTGATATCTGCTCTGTTACACTGCCAGAACAATGACTTGCTCTGAAAATGAGCCTCAATGTTTAGAGATCTGCTTTAGGCAAAGCAACAAAATGCTCTCTCCCCTTCTTTTCCTCCATCTTTGTTTGACTTTGTCTGTCTTCCCTTCCCGTCGCCCACCCCTTATTATTCCCTTCGTCACACTGTCGTGCATTTTGTTTATCTTGTCCTTCTCTGCCTTCTGTGTCTCTGTCATCTGCAGGTTCCAGCAGTAGCTGTTCTCTGCTTCACCAACTGGGACTCCATGGCTGGCAGTGGTGCTGCTTGATTCATTGCACTGTGAGTTTGCTTCTGGTTTGTCTGAGAATGAGTGTGTTGGTCTGTTTGTCTCTCTGTGTTTTTCTCATGCACTTTTCTTGGTTGTTAGGTGAGCCCATACAGAATAATACACTTTAACTCATCAAAAACCAAAGTCTCGACTTGTCCTTTGTAGTTTGTGCCTCTCCAGTGTTTTATTTGCGGTTCTGTTTTGTCACTTCTTCAAGTCGATACCCAAAGAGTCTGATTTCTCCCCACGGATTGAAGTCTTTCTGTGATTCGTCTCTTATTTTTCTTTCACCGTTTTGCTATTTCTGTTCCCTGTGCTGCATTTGTACTGAAATACTGTCTCTCTTCAAAGCAGAAACTGTATACACGCTGCCACTGTTCACCACTTGATGACTTACTGGTTGTCATATTACAGCTCCTAGCATTGCAGTTTGCCTATTAGTGCAATACTCTATCCATATTATGGCATGTAAGATATCTATAACAGCTACTGTAGCACTTTTTCCTTTCATAACTGGCTTTGTGAAAACTGACCTGAATAACTGAAGTAGCAGCCAATGCGCGCAGTGGAATATTAGATTATTGGAATCATGTATAGGAAGTGAAGGCATATAGATCGTCTCTGGGCATACTTGAAGATGCAAATACTCTGCTTTAATAACTCATGTATGCTGTTTTTCCCCCCTGTGGTAAATTAAATCTCCTAGTAAAAAGTACTTAAAATATAGCCATCACCTCCTCCGCCTATATAAATTCAGAAGCCATGAATGCAGCAGTATTTTTTTTATCTTTGGCTTTAGTGCTAGACACACTTTTTCAATTAGTCCGGTGTTGGATTGGAGATGAGCTTACTTTTTTCCTTTCAGTACCACTCGTTTTTGCATTCATGCATCCGATTACCTTTTAAATGGAAGAACATTGTGATAGTTTTGAATTGATTTGATAGTAAATTGATTGTATTTAATGTGTATATTGTTTAGGATGAGTTTGATACTTGCAGTAAAAATTAAATAGTGATTATCCGACAGCTCTGTGACATTATGTTTTGCACATATGTTTTGAAAAAGAACAATGAAAACTAGATTTCCTACAAAGTTAACATTAGATTTTATAGGGGTTATATATGTTAAATGTTAATTCCTGATTCACCCTCTCTTTCATTCATTCATTTGGTCTCAACATATTTTTCACAGCTGTACCTTTGCAAACACATGGGTATGTATTTCTTGTGCTTGGCAATAGAGCTCATCCGATAGATCGGCCGATTTTAGCTATTTGCTGACAAATGCCAGTACAGCTGATGAATGAACACCTAAAAAGAAAAATTAGGAGCTCATGTTGCTACTGTTGATGTTGTGTATTTTGCCCACCAGAGAGAACTTCCCTGCAACATGTGTTTGGAAAGCCATAAACATGACAACCAGGTGATCCGAGCAGAGTCAGAGTAGCTGAGTAATCTATGACTTGTGGCAATAAAAATATTATCTTATTAAGGTCTCATAAAAATCTATTCATAACAACTGTTACGTGAGCTTAAAGATGGTAAAACACACAGAGTCTTTTGACCAACTGCAAATATCAAAAGGACGGGACTGATCAGGGAAGTGCTTAAATTCAGAAACAGTGTTTTTCTTAGTAATCCATGCTGATCCAATTTTTTCTGCTAGTTAAAAGCCTTTTGTTGATGACTAACTTACCTTTGCTAACACTGTCATGCACTTATTACCTCACTAATGATCTCTGTTTCCATATGTCTCAGTGCCAGCTGGATAAAAAGCAGCCATCTGTGCTGCTGTGTCTCAGCAGGTTTAGGTCCTGGTCTGTTTGCATGTGCCTCCATCTCCACAGCTCCCACCACAGATGTTACTGTTTGTGTGGATAATGACAATAGATACTTCATGTGCTGTACTTAACCTTTCACAAAGAACCACTAGTGCTATCTTCTCTGCAACACTTGCTTTTATTTGGTGCATTGTGCTGAGACCTTAAGGCTACATGCGCACTGTGTTGGGTCACTTTTCTTGAAACGAGGCATGGGCTTGAAGCCAAGTAAAATAACAAATATCCTCCCCATATTTTAGCAGGAAAAAGAAATCACAGTAAAAAAAAAATTCTCATAATTTTTGCTGTTGACCTTAATTCCTAAATCTGCTTAGAAAAAGTGAATCATGTGGCAAATGCAAAAATTCCAGTATTGCTGCTGAAATGACACTTTTTCCAAATCTCAGCTATGCCAAGGGGGAAAAGATACTGACTGGCTTTTGTTAATGAGACCCGTCAGGCTTAATTTCACACACTGCACCAATTCAAACTATCCGTGGCTGGTCGGAGGAAGCAAGGGGGAGGAAATGCTTGTTCAGGCGAAGGCAAAGGTGTTGTACAAAGCAAACACAGACTGTCTCTTTCAAAACTTTCCACCCATAGGGATCTTCTTGTCTTTTTCCTGTGTGCATTTTGCCTGGACAAGTTAGTGGCGCAGGATGGCATTAGCCCTCTCTTGATGCCTCCGCCTTCTCCAGCATCCATTAGTTTCTGCTGCTGTTAGTTTGTTTTGCACTTGGCAGTTGAGAGCTGGGATGGTGTTATGTTCAGTTTAATTGGATGATGTGGTATTCTCTTCCAAGCTCTAGATGCCAGCATCATTTCTTGGCCCGTGCCTTATCACCATCCTCAAAGCTACAGAAAGAGATTATTGCTCACATTGCAAAAAACGAAGGTCTCTGTCCCCCAAAAGCTAGAAAATGTTGAAAATGATAAAATTGATCAGAGATATAGTTTCTCTTTTCTTTCTCTAACTTTTACTTTCCTGATTTTTTTTTTCTTTTAATTTATTTATTTTCTGCACCAATGTCTGTCACCTCAAAAATACTCCTGGATTTCACACAACACATGAAAACAGCTGTGAGTGCTTTCTAAACTGAAGCCAGATTTTTGGATTAGCATAGCCGTTCTCCAGAGGACACAGTTAGCAGGCAGAGAAACAGACAAAAGCATGGTTAAATCATTAGTGAAATAAGCCTGGCCCCCATTACCATCAGCCTAACACAGTCCAAAACCACCATGGGAAGAGAGAGGGAGAATTTCTTCACTCAAAGAAACACAGTTTCTTTTTATTGATGGTAATTGGGAGCTGTTATCAAATCTGTCCCCCACTTCTCATTTCTCCCAGAGTTGAGCGCTGTAGAAGAAACAGGCGATTGTTCTTTGAAGAAAGTAGGACACATTTTTTCCAGGAGCTTCAGTTCTGTCTTGAGGCTGTTTCTGTCTCTTGGAGCTTCCTATATATTCAGCCTATACATGGAAATGCTTGTCCTCCAGAAAGACTAAAGCCTGGATAGGCAAGTTGTGCAAGAGTAACCATTTTTAATCAGTGCTGTATTTTACATACATGTAATGTATATATACTTTATGTAAGCTTTTTTATATCTTCCTCCTTCTTTGTTAGTATTTTGCTGTATATACATTATTTGTCTCACACAATTGTATCACCAGAATATTTAGTAGTTATTATTAATTACTGTTTCTTTTAATGGGGATGCCACAGAAAGAGTTTAACAGATGTATTGTGTATAACTTCTAGCTGCTTTTGAAAGCAGTTGAAAAGGACATACAGTACCCTCTAGAAGCTTTGATGGCATCCCTCATTTCTTTACATTTCTCTTCCAATGATTCAGTCGTTTTTATAATTTTTTGAAAGTGGTCTTGAGCAATAGCACCTGACTGTTCAGTGTTTTGTCTACACATAACAGGCAACTTCACAAAGAACCAGTTTGTATCCTTTGTTACTACCAGCCTGTCACTAAAATAGATTAATTCCCATTCCTGCTGTTTAATCTATGAAAAATATCAGAGAACATAGTTTGACAGGTATAACACAGCATTTTTATGCCAACAAGGTGCCAAAGATTTACTGAAACTATTGAAAACTTGGTATATCTCACCATACTGTGCAGTGTTTTGTTTTTTTTTAAACTTAGGAAACTGGACAAGTGGACAGTAGAAGAAGTGCCAGGCCTAAAAAAGCCAGCTGCTGTTCAATGCAGCCTCAGAAGTGGCTGTTGAAATGAAAGCTTTACTGACCTGGTTTCGAAGTTTCTTACTAGTTTTAGAATTTTGTAGCAGAGTAATAGGACAGGAGGGAAGAGGCTGCATGACTTGGCTTTGAATCCTCAAGGTTTTTGCAGCACCAAGGTAATCCAGTGATAGTTGCTATGTAGCAGTGGTAACATCTGATGATAGCTATTTCGGCAGATTCTTATATGGGTTAAAATAGCACTGAATTTACTTCCACAGTGTAACTTGGTTTAACACTGTAAATTGAACCTGTCAATCACAGAACTTGCAGTGTCACTGCTTTGAAAGCCACCAATCACATTAAGCCCTTCTTCCTTTGGACTCTGCCCTCCAAGCTACCAAAAGTCAGATTGAGTCGAGCAAGCAGAATTCATCTTTGAGATTAGAGCCGCCTGCGTGAGCGTGAATCTGCCACAGCACCCCCTCGAATGTGTGATGCGTCTTTGTGCTGAGCTGTGTTGAGTTGTACGCGTGCAGATTGTTGAATTTGAATACCTGCAGCTGTGAAATGAATTGCTCATTATTGTGTTTTGTCTTCTGCGCCTATTTCGACACAAATAAGACTCCATAGTTGTGCTACTGCAAATGAGTTCACCTGCTAGCCAGGGAGGGGCTGTGTGGCTGCCTGTCTGCCTCTCACTACTCGCCTTGCCACAAAATGCTGCAACTATTGAAGGCACTTTTAGTTAGCAAGCATGTGTAAGTGTGATGTTACAGTCTTGAAGCCAAAAGAATTTGCTGTGATCCCAACAGATTGCTGTTCACCCCCCCCGCCCCCCCCACTAGCACCCGAGGGATATCCAGCTCTCAGCACGATACTACCCTCACTGCTTCCTGGTGCCAACAAGCCTCTGTTTCACACGGTGGAGGTAGTGGAAGCAGGCGGAGCATTTTAGTCAGAGGGGGAAAGAAAGCCTTCATGAGCTCTCCACAGTTAT